GGTTTTTATTGATTTTGTTACAATTGGGTTTTACTGTTTATATCGTGTTTGGGGTCACTTTTGTAAGCGACAATTTTTTGTTTCGTTTTTGTTGTTGTTATGGTAGCCCATCTGCTCGTGCATTTGCCACTAAACTTCTTTCCCTCCCTTTTCCAAGGTGTTCCAAAGAGATGGGAATGATTTGCACATGACGCACAAAATAGGACTTGTTGAAGCACTGTGTGGCTTTCAGTTCACATTTAAGCACCTTGACGGACGTCAAATTGTGGTGAAATACCCCCCAGGAAAAGTAATTGAACCAGGTAAAAAATCTCATGGGCTTTTGGAGCTTTTTGGAAGCCTGTTACCCTGTATTTTGCCCGTTAATGTACAGTGGTACCTCGCAAGACGAATGCCTCGCAAAACAAAAAATTCACTAGATAAAAGGGTTTTTTGAGCTGCTTCGCAAGACGATTTTCCCTATGGGCTTGCTTCGCAAGACGGAAACGTCTTGCAAGTTTGTTTCCTTTTTCTTAACACTGTTAATACACAGTTGCGACTTGACTTCGAGGAGCAACTCATAGAACGCGGTGTGGTAGCCTTTTTTGAGGTTTTTAAAGACTTTGGTGATTTTTGAAGCTTTTCCAAAACTTTCCCAACACCGTGCTTCGCAAGACGAAAAAAATCGCGGAACGAATTAATTTCGTCTTGCGAGGCACCACTGTATTTGATTTTACACAGAGGGGAAAACTATAGGCTGCCTCTTAACAACAATTGCCTTTGTCCATTCCTGCAGGCTGTGTCCGTGTTGTTCGGGGGGAAGGAATGCCACAGTACCGCAATCCCTTTGAAAAGGGAGATCTTTATATAAAGTTTGACGTGCATTTTCCTGAAAACAACTGGATTAGCCCAGAAAAGCTTACAGTGAGTACCCCAGGATGTATCTCTAAATGCTCACCTCTTCTGCACGCCAGCTGCAGAATATGTGGAATTTGCACATCACCATTACATCTGATCACTATAGGAAACAGTTTTATCCAGCTATGTTCCTCTGCTCGGAGTAGACTCACTGAAGGTGAAATTGACTTAGCTCCACTAATTTCATTGGGCCTACTCTGAGTAGGTCCAACATTGGCTGCTCGATCAACGACACACCTGCCTGATTCTACAAGCATAGATTTAAGGATGGTGATAAAAACACAAGCTCTAAAACAATTGTACTGGGGAAAGGGCACAGTGTATGTAAGAAGGCCAGATTTTTTTTATCAGTGGAGAAAAGGGTACTGACCAAGCCATGGCTTGAAACTTTAAATAAAACCAAAACAATAAAAAAATAAAAGCAGACATCAGTTAACCATTGTAGAAGGATTTCTTCTTAATTTTCTGCATAGGCCTGGTGGAATAGGAAAACTTTCAGCAGGTGTTCAAAGGTTGGTGCAGAAGGCGCCTGCTGGAACTTGTGTTCCTGCGAGTACTACATTTTTGCATCACTCTTCTTCCAATACTTTCTTTTTAGGAACTTGAAGATCTTCTGCCTGCCAGACCAGAAATCTCCAACATAATTAGTGATGCAGAGGAGGTAGAACTTCAAGAATTTGATACCACTCGTGGTTCAGGTGGCGGCCAGAGGCGTGAAGCTTACAACGATAGCTCTGATGATGAAAGCGGCCATCATGGACCTGGGGTGCAGTGTGCCCATCAGTAAAAGTTTTGTCTGGGGGTGGGGGCGGGGGGAAGTTACACATGGATTTTTCTCTTCAAATTTTGCCTGACTTGTTTCCAGCAATCCAGTTGGATTGTGTGAGCAATCCACACGAACCCAATGGACATCTGTTGCTATATGTGTAACTTTTAAATTGGTCCATAGTATCTACAGAGTGTATAATTTAAACTAACCACACAAAAAAGCTTTTTTTTTCTACTGTTCTGTAGCAGAATAAAGGCACTTGAAAGGAAGATGAGATTCTCTCCTTTTCACCTGGGTTAAGTTTCAGTCCTTGTACTTGTGCTTGATTTTTACCAGTTTTTGTGTAGATTTTAAGTTCTATATTTTAAAAATTCAAATTCTACATTGTAAAGTTTTTGTGTAAAACTTTGTCCCGAGGCTTGGTATTTGGCTGCACCTGCATAAGCTGCTACAATAGAATAAAGAATTTCATAGCCTGTATCTATCACTTTAGATGCATGGTAAGTTATTGGACTTGGCACACAGTGGGGTTAGAACTGATGGGGAACCATGGAAGAGAGAGAGGAAAAAATAAGTGGTTGTAAAAGTTTTTTACCATCTTGTGAAAGGTTTCTGAAACTAAATAAAAGCCGTTGGTGTATGATGATACTTCTTGTAACCTTTTTCTTTCCATAAATTGACACCTAAAATTACTCTTGAAATAGATTTTTTATTTCCAACTCCAGTATTAACCTCTTAAACTGAAGGCTCAGAATGGGTGGGTGGGCAGTTGTATGGCTCCTGGGCTCAATGCTTTGTTGTGCCCCTGAGTTTTAAAACCCCTGATGAAACAGACAGTGGACCATCTTGAATAGCTTGAAACCTCAAGCAGAAAGCAACTCAGAAACAGTTAAGGAAATGGTTAACAAACGGATACAAGGCAAATCTTATGGTCTGTGCACACTCCTATAATATAGGAATACACTTTTAAGTAGAAATTTTATCAAAGGGAACTTGAGAAAAGCAGTGCAACATTTTGCAGTAAAACATTGCAAAGCTCAGCACAACTGCAGGAAGTTGGAATAGTACCTACAAAACTGCTTCATGATTACCTAGCCACATACTGTTTTACCTGATCAATAGAAAACCCTACAATCCATGGTAGAAGTCATTTTGAGCCCCCCCCCCCAGGAGCTTCCTCCAACCCCTTTCCTTTGCTCATTTTGGCTGCCATTAAGCAATTTAGCAGTGCACCAAACCAACAAGTTTTCTTTGAAAGCTTAGAATGTGTCTTAATTATCCTAATTGTCTCTTTGCCTGCAGTGTGGAAACAGCCCTTCCAACAATACAGAGGTCATGAGACATGCGTTACTCTTGTGTCTTTGTGATCATGAACACTGTTCAAGGTTAGTCGTAATTGCAGAAGTAACATTTTGGTACTGGTGTTTTAGGAAGTACCTCTAACATAAGTTAACATCTCCTTTAAGGCAGATGGCCAGATGACTTGCTTTGAGCGCCTCCTGATAAATTATTAGTCCTACAATTAGGGAAAACACGAAATGGCATAGTTACACAGCTAAAGGTGTAATTGAAGATACCAACAGTTGCCAATGTCTTTTGTGATTCCTACAACTTTTACACATCTGGCAGTCCAGCAAAAAAGAAAACCAAAGGATGTCTGCACATTTTATTTTGCTGAGTATTTAACTACAACATCTTCAATCCGAGGAAAATGATTGACCCATTTTTATGTGCAGTAGTCACAATATTAGTTCAACAGATACTAGGTCAGCCTAAGTATGATTCTACAAGGCTTTGAGTCAAACTCCAAGGGAGCATTGGAGAAAAAACTCAACTAAGGTCAACACTGCTGAAGATCTGGGAAAGTTTTCCCCAGCCAGCAAGCACCCCTTGAGCTAGGACTTGCCTGATCTCGCTCCCCCTCCCCCGCAAAACCCATTACTCAAATACTAGCCACAATTTAAAGTATGTTAGTTTCCACTGGGGTTTAGCTACTTCTGACCCACTAACTTTCAAGTTAAAACATAACTTGCTCTCTCTCTCTCTCTTTGCCTGCAAACCCTGTGTTTATTGCTTTGCTCCCTGATGATAGCTCTTACAATGGGGATGGGTGGTCCTCCAGAAGTTGAACCTAGCTACTATGTCAGTGGTCAGCAGTTGCAGTCCAACAACTGGCAAGCCACCCATGGTTTCAATTGTAAGACAGCCACAGCACTGACTTAGTTGCAAGAGGCCTAGGGCTACAAGCAGTAAAATCCTATTCTAAAAGCAGGACTTAACATGGGAATATCCCTGCTGCAAAACTTCCATTAGGTTCTTGGAAACCATCCAGGCTACACTGCTGGAATATTTCTCCAGCCATTTTAGTTCAGCCAGACTGTTTTTAGACAGCCTTAACTTAATGCAGGGAGCAACACGGCATCTGCTGTTAGCTAGGAGCTTGCTGCGAGTTAGATCACTGGTCCAGGTGCAAAAACAAACTACAACACTGGATGTCGTAAGGTTGGTGTTAAAGGCGACACAATAGAGCCATGCAAGATCAGGCAATGTGTGGAGAAAGTGGATAGAGGGAAGCTTTTGTCTCCATCTCTTTACACTGGAATTCAGTGACCGTCAATGAAGCTGAATGGTGGAAGATTTGGAACGGACAAAAGGTTGTACCTCTAGCTGTTGACGGCTTCACATGGTGCTCTGCTGGCTGGCTCTGATGGGAGTTGGAGTCCCAACTGTCTCTGGAGGACCACACAGGGGCCCCATCCCTCACTGAAGTAGAACTTTCAGCAGATGAGGAGACAATACACTTTAGAAGGAAGCTCCACTGGCTTCCATATAGGATCATGGTCTCCAATTAAGCCCTGGTCATATATTTATGGAACAATGTAGAACCAGACCACAGGAAAGTACTCTACCACCACATCCTCCAACTTGGTCTGGTGACATCTGGGCTTAAATATGCTTTGGATCAGGGCACTCCAATAGATATGGATGCAGCAAGGGAGCCAGTGTGGTGTAGTGGTTAAGAGCGGTGGACTTGTAATCTGGTGAACCGGGTTCGATTCCCCACTCCTCACAAGCAGCTGCTGGGTTGACCTTGGGCCAGTCACACTTCTCTGAAGTCTCAGCCTCACTCACCTCACAGAGTGTTTGTTATGGGGGAAGAAGGGAAAGGAGAATGTTAGCCACTTGGAGACTCCTTAGGGTAGTGATAAAGCAGGATATCAAATCCAAACCCCTTCTTCTTTATATCTGAACTATGGGGCACAACAAACATATAGCCCATGTATGGCACTCTTTAGAGCAAGCACCATTCACCCTGAAATAATGCCAGCAAGCCTCCATAGAGAAATAACAAGTTTAATAGTACTTAAAAAAAAGCCTATCTATTTAAACATAAGGAACCAAGGATATTCAGATCCAAGAATGAAAAAGGGTTGTTTATGGAGTCCATCAACATCACTTAACGGTTGCTTTTCCGCAAAGGACTGTCAACTGGTTCTAAGGAAGGGGGGAAAGAAAAAAAAAGCATGGGCAATTGATGGAGCTCTCCAAGCATCCCTCTGAACCACCAAAACTCCAGATTCTATGCAAGGAATGCCTTACACAGAAGTATTTCTGAGAACTACCTGCATGGATTTTTCAGACCTGAGAAGGAACAGTGCAGATTGGCACAGCTGACAACGATGTTATGACGAACCCTGCCAGCCCCCCTGCAGGGACAGAGCCATTTCCAAGGTTTATTTGTTCTGCACACTTACCACAAGGCTGTGAATATGCTGGACGGTGTCCTCATTCAATAATTCCACATTGACGTTCTGGAGGTCATCGCCAGCTGAGCAGAGAGTCTGAACAAGAGCAGAGAGTTGTTGTTTGTACCATCACGCATGTTATTGCTTCATGTCACATAGAGAAAGTGGGCAGAGAAACTCATGAGTGGAAAACTCATGGTTATCCAATATAGCTGAACGTTGGAAGAGTCAGGGCGTAGGACTTCTTCATGCAGCGCAGAGTTGAACTATGGAAGACTCTCCCACAGGAAGAAGCGATGGCCACCAAACTGGATGGTTATAAAAGTTGATTAGACAAATTCGTGGCAGAGAGGGCTACTGGTGGCTACCTAGCCCTGGTGGCTATGCTCTGCCTCCACAGCTGGAAGCAGCAATGAAAGGGGTTTGGGAGACGTCCTTAATTTTTGGATGTGTGTCTCAACCTGGACGCATTTATATTTGCAAATCAAAGATTCACAGCCCTCCTCGGCTGATACAATACCTTTCCATCAGACAAAGGGATGTTGACAAAGGGAACTGAGCTTTCGTGGGGCATCGACATACTCCGGAGCGTCACCGCCTGCGTTCTCTCTGAGGCAGATGCACTTTTGGAGAGACCCCTTTGTGGAAATCTAGGCACCAGGAAGGGGTGGGGAAGGGGGGTGGAGGAGAGGGAAGGCGGTTCAGAAAAGGGCAAAACAACTGACCGAGGAGATGACGCAAGACCCCTATAAGGGGTCCAGACATTTGGCGATGTTTGAGGAGGTTAGTTTTAAGGAAAAGGTAAGACGAGCCATGACAGAGGTGCATGGAATTGCACACGGTGCATAGAAAGTGGACAGAGGTAAGTTTTTCTCTCTCTCTCATAATGCATTACAATTTAGCAATATCCAATGAAACTGAATGTTGGGAGATTTGGGACAGAGGAAAGGAAGTACCAGCTCAAACCTCTTCCCACACAGCTTCTCAGGTAGACTGGAAGGGAACAAAGGCTTGATTATCTAGTTCTTCCCAAGGTGAGGGAAAGGGGGCATAGCTAGACCTGGCAGGACAGCTTACTTGATTGTATTAACCCCTTCATGCATTCATTGGACTTAAGTAGGTTGGCTGTTTGAGTCTTGGTTATCCCACAATATTTATATCCTTAAAAACAGCATGGCTTGCCTTTTAGAGCCCAACGAGATGCACTTGGAAGCAGACACTGGCCTCTCCCGCATCGAGGTCGATCGCTCAATGGTTCTCCCGTTTGGGGTGGCGTTTGCAGACCTGATGGGACACAGGGGGCATTTACAGGATTTTAAGGTTGCAGCAGCAGTTCCTCCTATGCCTGTTCCTGTGAGAATTCTCTATAAGGAGAGGTCAAATGGCAGACAGAATGTCACAAGGAGCGGAGCTGTTGCAGCTGCGGAGACTTCCCCGTGTAGTCCGTAGATCACTTCATGCTTCTCTTAGGTAGTTCATAACATTATAAAAAGATCAAAAGTACAAAGTAATGCCACATTTTAAAGCAAAAATGGAATGATTAGGGGGCAAAATTCTCTTAAACATCAAGATAAACCCAATTAAAAGATATAATAACCAGTGCTTTTTCTGGGAATACGCATACCTCTAAACATTTTGTGAATCTTTGTACTGTTGTTCATTTACTGTATTTATTTTTCCCAATTTGAACAATAAAATGGTGATTATCTTGAATCAAAATGAGAGTACCCCTAAACATTTTTTTAGGAAAAAAAGCTCTGATCATAACTACTAGCAGATAAGAATAGCACATAATAACTAGATGATGATGATGATGATGATGATGATGATAGCAGATATTATCATTATTATTTATTTGCTTATTTATTACCTGCTCCTCACCCCAATAATAACTAATAGCACATAATAACTACCAGCAGATTTAAAACACGGAAATGCAGCAGAGTCAAGAAGTCCTACTCACCTAATATGCAAGCAGACAGAGATGCCTGGAGAACCACATTCAGTTCCCAAGGCCTGAGGTTTCTCAGCCATGAGCTACGTGACTGAGGACATGGACAGGTGGTTTTTTTTAAAGCTTCCTAGTACCACCATGGGGGCTAGCAACCTGCTTTTTCTAAGACTATTCTCATAAGCAGCTTCATGAAGCCTCTTTTTAAAACAGCAGGCATTGGCCATCAACAGCCATCACTTACAAGGAGCAGAAGCAGCTTCCAGCCAGTTAAAAGCTCTAGTAATTTCACGCTTGCAGCCTCCCCCATTGAAATATGTAGAACTTGGTTTTTAGCTAGACAGCACCAAAGTTTACTGGGTGTTAGATACGGTGCAGGGGTCAGCAAACTTTTTCAGCAGGGGGCCGGTCCACTGTCCCTCAGACCTTGATTCCCGGACCATCCACGGGCCGGATTGAGAAGGCGATGGGGCCGGATCTGGCCCCTGAGCCTTAGTTTGCCTACCCATGGCATAGGCGTAGGGTCTCTTGTGCCATAGGCAGAGCTGCTCCTTTGAAAGCCAACGCACTTCGCTGCCTCACAAAAAGAACCAAAAACAATGTAGTAAGAATATAGGGTTACTCTTACCTGGACGGAGTCCCTTGCTTGCCCTTTACGGCAGAAGCCAAGGAAGCCAGAGAATTTGTTTTAAATGCCTGCAAGGGTGTTGAGCAGCAAAACAGGGCATTAGGGCCACAAAGGTAGTCCAAGGAAAAATCAAAGTTGTTTAGCATTCCTGAAAGTCATCTGATTCTCCACTGTTTAGAACAGCAATCTAATTTTTCAGATTTATAGGCAATGAGATGTTGAATAATGTGGGACTTGTATGTCTGTTTCCTCCCGCCAGCGAATAACCCCTGTGTGTCACACAAAGCATTTCCCAGCTCACATGCACTACCTCACACATAGAATGCTGCATAAGATCAGCATATACACCTTTTGTGCCCTGGTGCTAGTGTCAGAATTGAGGGGGGCAAGGGATTTCAGGTAGAGCCTGCCCCCAGCAGCACCTGTCGGGATCTGATCTTGCCATGCACACAAAATTCTCATGCTGACTTCTGTTGATGCTGACTGCACAGAGAACCTTGGGGGAATAGGCCCTTTGCCAATCTTGGGGGCCACTGAATATTCAACCTCACCAGGATCACTCCATTTCCAGGGTTGCAGAGACAAAGAACTCTCCAGGCCACACTGCTAAAGAGGGTAGCTTTGAATCAGCAAAAAAGTGTAGCCTGTCTTACATATAGGACCTGCAACAAAACAGAGAGTGCTCTCATGCAGGTTTCTAGACTGCTGAGCCCTTTCCCAGGATATTCCGTTCCATTCCCAACCTCAGTTTTGTTCCCAGGACACTCAGCATTGCATGTGCGTTCAGCGTACTCAGTTCTCGTTGAGCTATCTTCAGGTCATCCCTACCCTCTTAAGGTTTCCCCATCTAAGTTGTTGTGTGTGTGTGTTTGGTACATCCACAAACCTCCAGGTTCCTCAGAGCCACCTAACGTCTCCCTCTTGTGCATGGATAGTACTGTTTTGGCTACAGAAGGATCCACACGTAAGAGAATGAATTTGCTATGAGCACATATGGGATACTATTCCCCACTTACCTTTCGAGACAGTTTCCTGGCCGGAGCTCCACTCTCTTCTTCCTCTCCTTTGTATTCCACAATTGTCGTGACCTTAACTAGAAGGGGCAATTTGGTCAAGGGTTATTATAGGCATGTTATGCATGCATCTTGCATCAGTCTCTCCAAAGCTATGGCAGGATACTTTGGCTTGGATCAAACGAATGGAAGACTGTCTTATCTCTTCCGTCTGAGAGTATTATTCGACTATACTTTCGTTTTTGCTGTATGCTTTCTGTTTCTGCCAGAGTTTGGAGAACACAGACGTGATTATGGATTCTCTGTATACCGTATTCTTCGCCCTATAGGATGCACTTTTTCCCCTCCAAAAATGAAGAGGAAATGTGTGTGCATCCTATGGGGCGAATGCAGGCTTTCGCTGAAGCCTGGAGAGCGAGGGGGGTCGGTGCGCACCGACCCCTCTCGCTCTCCAGGCTTCAGGAAGCTATCCGCTAGCCGTGGGAGTCGCAGCTCTCCCACGGCTAGCGGAGAGCTTGCCTGCACCCAGAAGCTTGGGGCGCGCTGAGCTCAGCATGCCCCAAGCTTCGGGCTTCGCGCAGCGCTCCGCTAGCCATGGGAGAGTCGCGCGGCTCTCCCACGGCTAGCGGATAGCAGCCTGTTCTGGGGGCTAAGGTCGGGGGAAGCTCGGGCTTCCCCCGCCCCAGCCCCGCACCTGGGGGGGGGAATAATTTTTTTTCTTTATTTCCTCCCCAAAAAACTAGGTGCGTCCTATGGGCCGGTGCGTCCTATTGGGTGAAAAATACGGTATATTGTGAATAAAACATGGTTTAGATCTACAGATGTTTCTATCTTCTTGCTGTGTGATGCCAGAAGACTTGTGTGCACTTTTCATATGAGAAGTGTCGCAGAGGGGCACTCTGGAGTGAAGGGGCATGCCATTCCAGAGACATGCTTTACTGGGAGATGCTTGGAGGTACTGGAGGTCTGCTGTCCCCCCAGGAGTGTTTGCTAACACAAACAGCATCAGGTTTTGCACACTCATGAACTTTCCTCTTCTTCTGTCCCACGGGGAAGAAAGAACACTCCCAAGGGCCCATGGAAATAAAATGACTGCTCATAGCATAATATGAGATAGTATGATAGAAGCTTATGAGATATAATATTTATATTATATAAATATAATATAAATTATAAAAGAGATAGTATGATAGAAGCTTATGAAATTATGAGTGGCATGGAGAAAGCAGATAAGGAAAAAAATTGTCTCCTTTCATCACACTAGAAGTCGTGGACATCCTATTAAGCTGAATATTGGAAGATTCACAGAGGAAGATAAAAGAAAGGACTTATTCATGCAGTGCATAGTTAAATTAAGGAACTCGATGCCACAGGAGGCAGAGAAGTCAAGCAACGTGAATGGCTTTAAAAGAGGATTAGACAAATTCATGGAGGTGGGGCTATTGAGGACTACTAGCAATGAAGGCTACTAGCCATGATGGCTATAGTCTGTTTTCATGGTCGGAGGCAGTAAATGCTTCTGAATATCAGTTATTGGAAACAACAGGAGGGAAAGTGTGCTCTTGTGTGGGGAGTCTGTTCCCACAGGCATCTAGTCCAGGAGGCTGGAGTAGATAGTAGATACCAACTGGTAAGCCAGCTCTTCTGCATTTTGGGCCCCAGATGTCTACTCCAAAGTCCAGCCCTGACAGCATCACTGCCATCGAACACTGACCTGCTTGGCATGGAGCAGCAAGTCAAACCATGGCCAAGCACGAACATTCTCAAACCATAGTTTAGCATGTTCCCAGAGAGGAGACTGCACCCAGTTTGCTTCTCCTCTGCTACTCCATCTGAGAGCTAAGCTGTGGTTTGGCTTAGCATATCCTCCACATCCAGGTTCCCAGGTTTATTTTGATCCTACTACTACTGTAGTTAGATAAACCACAAGCCCTGATCTGGAGGATATGCTAAGCCAAACCATGGTTTGGCACAGCTGTAGAGGGACTGAGAAGCAGCAGCAGCAGCGGCCTCCCTTGAGTGAAACTGGGCAACCCTCCCTCCAAGCAATGTTAAGCTTGGAAGGTCAGCTCACCTCGTTTGCTGTTGGTCCTCACTAGTCTGGGAGTTGGCATATCTGCTGCGCAGCAATCATTCTGTGGATAGGAGGGAGAAAGAGGTGGTATTATCAGGCCAGAATCTCTCGTGTGGGTTTGGTTGCTGGAACCAAAGAGTTGGACACATGGATGAATGTCAGAAGAGGCAGGTGACTGGGGCATGTGGAAATCACCTATGAAAAATCTTCCCTCTGGAGCAGGGTCATCATCCCATGGGAAGTTGACTTATACTGAGACAGACCAATGGTCCATTTATCTCAGTATTGTCTGCACTGACTGACAGCAGTTCTCCAGGATACCAGGCAGGAGATATTTCCCAGCCCTACCGAGAGATGCCAGGAATTGAATCTGGGACCTTCTGCATGCAAAGCAGATGTTCTATCAATGATCTACTTAGAATCATAGAATTGTAGAGTTGGAAGGGATCCGGGGGGGTCATCTAATTCAACTCTCTGCAATGCAGAAATCAACACTAAGCCCCCCCCCATCCACTTTGAAACCATTCTGGACCTTGCTTAGCTTTGCAAATGTGCTAGCAGCTTTATTCCCCAAAGGACCTGGGACAATATCACAGGCCACCCAGAGCTTGCCAGAGCTTTGGACAAATGGGGCTGGCTTCTACTCCAATCTGCCTCTCCCACCCACTATTTAAAACTGCTTTCTCACCGCTTCCAGTGGTGTCCAAACTTTTTTCAATGAGGGCCAGATTTGATGAAGTGAGGGGCCGTGACCTTTTTTAAAGGACTGAAGTTGTTGAGATTTTGTTAGGATTTTACCCCAAAGTTGTTGAGCTTTTTTGGGGGTTGAAGTTGTTGAGGGTTTTTTTTTTAGGATTTTACCCCAGGAAACAAACTGCCACAGGGGCCAGATTTAAACGACTGGCGGCCCAAATTAGGCCCCCCAAATGATGTTGGACATGCCTGGCTTACAGCTACGAAGTAAGGCATTCTGGTAAGGTGACACAGATTTGGCACCTGCATTCTCCTGGGTCATATCATGCAGAATTCCTTGCTCTGAGAAAGGAATCCCTTTTATTAATGGGTGAACAAAAGGAGGAGGAGTGGGGGCAGTGCAATACTTTGCACTACTGTAGGCTTTGGGGCAGTTGCCCCAATCTGCCACAACCTGAGAGCAGCATTGCTCAAGAGGCATAAGGATCCGTTATTGGTTTTTTAAAAAAAGCATTTTCGTGTTAATTGGCCATACTTACTGCCATGGCAGTGGCGATGACTGTGGCAGCGGCAGCTTCTTCTTCCTTAAGATCTGTGGTACAGAGACAGGCAATTATACCAAGGCAGTTACCAATTAATCAAAGGGACTAGCTTCTTATCAATCACACATTCTTTATAAAATAAAGGTTGGAGCAAAATATGAGCACAAGAAGAGCCTGCTCTATCCCCGGCCATCTAGTCCAGCATCCTGTTCTCACAGCAGCCAACCAGATACCCGTAAGCGGGACCCGAGCACAAGAGCACTCTTCCCTCCTGTAGTTTCCAGCAACTGGTATAAGGAAGCATTAATGCTTCTGACCATGGAAGCAGCACATAGTTGTACTGGCTGATAGCCATCAGTGGTCTTCTCCACAAATCTGCCTAATCTAAGTTGGTGGCTATCATGTGGGAGGGAGTTCCACAGTTTAACAATGCGCTGCATGAAAAAGTACTAAGAAGTGGGAAGGGAGAAAGGAAGGTATTAAAACTGCACATAGTTAAGATACGGTGTTTGTTGATGACCACCAACTAAGGTGGTTTTGCAAGGGAGTTAGACAAATTCATGGAGGAGAGGGGCCATCAACAGGTACAAGACAATGGCTTTATATTGCTTCCAATATCAGGGGCATTATGCCTCTGAATACAGCTGCTGGGGAACACTATTGAGAAGAATGCAATTGCACTGGGGAATAATGCAATTGCACCTGGGTCTTGCTTTTGGGCTTTAGGCTTTTGGTTGGCCACTGTGAGCAGGGCCGGCTTATCCATAGGCGCTCTCAGGGGAACCAGGCAGAGAGTCCAGGGCCCAAGAGTTGAGTCCAGGGAAGTTGGAGCGCCGCAATGGGCTTTTCTGCTGCGGGCGGCCCTGCACCGCGAGTTTGGGAGCAACCGAGCCAGCGAGACACTGAGGCGGCCGGCTGTCTCCGCCCTCCTGCACGCCTGGGACTGGGCAACTGGGGGGAGGGGCCGGGTAGATCTTTGCACCCCAGCGCCGCATATGCTTAAGACAGCCCTGACTGTGAGAACAGGATTCTGGACTCGATGGGCCACTGGCCTGGTCCAGCACATTCTTCTTATGTTTTATTAGCAGGCTTGTATCTGACTTTGTGCAGGTAGTCTTAAGTAACCAAAAAACTGTGTAGTTGTGAATTCAGCAGTTAAAATCTGTGTGGTTATAAAGGCTCAGTCACGATTCATAATGGCAAGCAATCTTATCCAAACATAAATGAAAACCGGCTCCTTGATCTCAGGATCCATCATGCAAAATTTGGTTGGGATATCTTAAGAGGTGTCTGAATGCACAACAAACAAACCAAGAAACCGCTTTCCAAAATAGATATTAGATGATGGGGGGCAAATGCAGCCTTCCAGGTCTCTATCCCCGGCACTCAGGAGTCTCCCTAGGCCACACAGCCTTCACTGCCCTTGCTTTGCACCCTCCTTGTACTCTGATCATGCTTCCTGCTTGCCTGGGTGGAGGGCAGAGATGGGTGTGTGAGTGTGTGCAGAAACTAGCCTACTGTTCAAAGGTAAAATTGACATTAGTGGCTACCTATTTTAGAGTGGTTTAACAGTCCATCCTTCTTCCAAGGGAACTCTGGGAATTGTAGTTAAACCACAGAGCCTAGGACTTGCCGATCAGAAGGTCGGTGGTTTGAATCCCCGCAATGGGGTGAGCTCCTGTTGCTCGGTCCCTGCTCCTGCCAACCTAGCAGTTCGAAAGCACGTCAGAGTGCAAGTAGATGAATAGGTACCGCTCTGGTGGGAAGGTAAACGGTGTTTCCATGCTCTGCTCTGGTTCGCCAGAAGTGTCTTAGTCATGCTGGCCACATGACCCGGAAGCTGTACGCCAGCTCCCTCGGCCAATAAAGCGAGATGAGTGCTGCAAACCCAGAGTTGGCCACGACTGGACCTAATGGTCAGGGGTCCCTTTACCTTTACTATTTTAAAGTGGTTTAACAGTCCATCCTTCTTCCAAGGGAACTCTGGGAATTGTAGTTCTGAGAGGGAAATAGGCATCTCCTACCCACTCTGAGCAGCCTAAGCCAACCACAGTTCCCAGAGTTCTTTAGAGGAAGCCCTGACTATCTAAAGTGGTGTGATACTGCTTTAACTGTATAGTACAGATGGGGACTTAGTTGGGAGCAAGCCCCATTGAGAAAGTGGCTGAGCAAAGTCACGAGGACCTATCTGCATGATAATTCACTCAACACAATTCTAACCACGTCTACTCAGAAGTATATCTGTCTGAATTCAACAAGTCTTACTCCCAGCAGGTAAGTGGGGTTGGGATAGCAGCCTCACCAATCAAGTCCTCCCTCCTCATTTTTCTCATGACCACCGGCATGGCCAGCAGCTCCACCTGGAATGCCTTCTCAGCTGTCTGCAGAAGCGAAGCCAGCTCCTTCTTCAAATCTCGCAGGTTTTCCTTTGCTTGGAGAAAGGGAGAAGGACAGAGGAAGCTGCCTTATGCTGAATCAGTCCATTCGTCTATCTATCTCAGTATTGTCTACACTGGCTGGCAGCAACTCTCCAGGATGTGTTCTCTCTCCCAGGTCTACCTGCAGATGCCAGAGGTTTAGACCTGGGACATTCTGCATGCAACAAAGATGCTCTAACCACTGGACAATATGGCCCTTGGCAGAAACACAGCACTGCAAGACCCTGAAATGAATAATCAAGTGAAGCAGCTAGAACTGAGGCATTTATGTCCTTTGGGAGACAAAATTGCTAGCACATTTGCAAAGCTAAGCAAGGTCCAGAATGGTATGGATGGGGGACTGAGTGTTGAGACTTATGCATTGCAGCGGGTTGGACTAGATGATACCTGGAGGTCCCTTTCAAGTCTGCAGTTCTATGATTCTATTCTTCAAAGCCCCACTCCTTGCTTTTCACTCCACTTCTCCAAGATTCATTTATTTATGCACCACCTTTTCCTCCATGGACCTCAAGGTGGCTTATACATGGTTCTTCCCCTTCTCACTTAATCCCCACAACATCTCTGCGAGGTAGGTTAGGCTGAAAGGCAGTGACTGAGCAGGGCTCAGGTCCTGCACCAGACTTTCTCAACCGTGTGTCCCCAGATGTTGTTGGACTACAACTCCCATCATCCCTGACCACGGGCCCTGCTAGCTAGGGATGATGGGAGTTGTAGTCCAACGATATCCGGGGACCCATGGCTGAGAAAGGCGGCTCTTGCCGCTACACCAGGCTGGCTCACATTTGCTCACTCAACCCACCCGTTTTGCCCGCCCCATCCCGAGGCCTCACCCTGGTGCTGGAAATCCCGCAGAAAGAGACTGATGCGCTGGTCCCTCTGCTCCTTGCTCAAGAGGCTCCGATCCGACTCCACGCCGGAGTCCGCGCTGCGCTTCTTCGCCTCGTTCAGGTGTTTCCTTAGCGCCATGTCTCGCTCCCAGCTCACAAATCGGGAAAGCCCAGAAAGGAGAAAGCATCTCTCTCTCTGTGGATTTATTGCAGTTCCCCGCCCTGGCTGTGGACACGCCCACTTAGGACCCTGGAGAAAGGGGTGGGCGCTGATTGCAGGTGCAAGGCACGCTCTTTCCCTGAGGAAGCCAAATCTAGCCCTGGGGATGGAGGAATCAGCTGCAGGGAGCTGTTCCTTTGTGGGTGCATTTAACTCTCCCAGTTTATTGAAAGGGGTGTTTTCACAAACGCTTAAAAAAAAAGTGGGAGGCTCAATTCCTGGATTAATTTTCCTCCATTAATGTCCACTTTTTCCTAGATATCTCAGCATGGTGGTGCAGTGATAGATTTCACCTGCTGAATTTCACAGTTGTTAAAAGGCACTGGAGTAGATATTGTTGCATGTGAACAAATGGCTGTATTCAGTTGGGTTTACTCAAGAATAACTGTGTTTAGGGCCACAACCACGGGGTAGTTTTGCCAGTGTCTATTTTTTATTTTTTACAAGAGTTTTGTTGGCCTAATGACTGAGACAGAAAGGTGCTTGGCAATCTAGGTGGCCATTTTTGCTCGTTTTCTCCCTTGCATCCTAGTGGGCTGTGTTGCTTTAAAAAAAAACAACACCTGTGGCAGATTTCACCCTCCTCTATAAGAGCCTTGCTGCATCAGACCAACTCTCTAACTCTATATATGCTAGCTTCTTATGTTCCTAAGTGTCAGCTGTGAGAAAGAAGGCTTTTGGAAAACTCATTAAAATATAGAAACCACGACAAAAGAGTTTCCAACCATTCTTTTATTTAATTTTTCGAAGTTGTAGGTACGTTTAAAAAGTCATCCCAAGAACAGCATGAGGAGCACCTGTAGGAAATGTGAACCTACGAGCATGCATCACAATGTTTAGATATTGCCTTACTCATTAAGGACGTACATTTTTTAAAAAGAGAGAACAAAAATTCAGTGTAGTAACATTCTCCATCTGCAATCTCGAAACCGTTTATTTGGGAATTGCATCCACTGAGGTCCACTCTGGAATAGATTCCAGGGATGACCGCCTTGCCTCCAGGACAACCAAGTTAAAATTTAGCAGCTCATCACAGTACTTACAAATGTGTCAAATCAATGTGGAAGGATCGTACCATTTCTCAAAAGATGCAGGAAAAAACAACAACAAACCCATTCATTCTCCCTCGGCGTACCAGAAATCAAAAGGCACCGTAACAGTGTTTAGAAAACACAAAGGAAGGTAGGTCAGCATCCTTGATTTAATAACTAAACCTCTAAGGATTCCTGCTCCCATTTTTAAAAAGGCAGAAAACAACAGGTGTGGGAGGAAAAAGCAAAGCTTTTAAAACATCCCTGCAAAAAGAGTTATTTAGAAACATGTAAACCTTGCATCGTTTTCAGGGACACTGGGTGTAAACACAAGGTAAATAGAAAACCCACTGGCTTGTTAAGACTACAAATACTCCCCTCCCCTCCCACCCTTCCCAAACCCAATGGGGGAATAAAACTTACAAAAGTATATAAAAATATATAGTAATCACGAGTAGCGCACAGAATTCTCTTGCACTGTATGTTCAATGACGGCCCTTCCCAAGCAGAGAGCCCGAAGCCAGATTTCAGGGAGGGAAAGTGCAATTCCTTTGTTTTTTGTTTAAACTGCAGTGTTCCAAGAGTGAAACATGTTAGTTTTCAGTAGTTCACGTAATCAATGCTTAGGAAACCGTGCCAAGCAGTTGCTCCAGCAAGCTGAGTGTTCTGTTCATTCAGCATTCCGATATCCCCATCCTTGTCAGTAAAATGGTAGGTTTAAGGGGACAAAAATGCAAAAAGGACGTTTCTGCTGTTCTCGGATGGCAATGTGTCCATTTAGAATTAACACCACCCGTAAGATACATTTGTTTGCCCCTTTGGAATTCAACTCAGCAATATAGTCAAGTACGCAGGGTAATCTGCAGTCGTAATTGCTTTGTTCACTTGGACCATTCTGGAAACTTGGGTCAGCAACAGCAGCAGCCCCCCAAAAAGTTAAGCCAGGTTTATGTACACAGGAGCCAACTCCTAGGGGCTGAGGGGCCTTTGCTCCCCCACAATAAAATATTTGAGGGGGCCAGCCCACCCCACAAGTTGCTAGGCATTGCCATTCAAACGATGTGCATGCGCTGCATCATGTGATTATGTGCGGCAGGGCTTACCTGCTCCCCCAATATTGAAATTGGCACCCCTATTTATGTTCAAGACTGAGATGGAGTAATGGGGGAGGAAATGGTACTTTCACACTGTATCGTAAAATGAAGCCCAGTTGGACCAACACGGAAAACTCTTAGATCTACTGTAGGAGAGCAAAGTGTCATGAACCTGGGCAATAATAGCAGTCAGGCAGTCCACTCCACTCTGGTTAGCCATGCTAAATAGCCTACTGGCCATCTTGCCCTCTCGTTTTCACTTCTACTTCTTAGAAGAGAAACTCAGCCCATGTGACATACCTTGGAGAAAATCTGTCTTTCTGAAGCTAGAAACAAAAGAAACAGCCATGGGATAGCGATTTTCACAGAACTTCCAGTTGCCTGTTCAGGTTGAAATAGCAGCCCTGAGAGGAGGCTGAATATTTAGGCAAGATTATACTACCAGATTGGACCCTTTCTCACTGTGACGTTTCCACGTTCCTTCAACGTTGGACCTTATTATTATAGGTCAGTGATCAAAATATGCTTTTCTTGCAGCGTACGTTGTTGAACAAAATTGGCAGATCATTTCGCACATAGGAAATTGCTCCTTCTGGTATCGGCATCTTGTATTTATTTCCTACCATGCTGAGGCGCATTCCGATTTATAGCTGAGAAGCGTCTCCTTTGCTTAGCTAATTTACTCAATATTCTAAAGCAGCACCTAGCCAAATGAAAGGAGGATAGTTCTGTGTCCTGATTATATCAGTTCCACGCCTCCCTCTTATAGGCTCTCAATTTTATTTATTTAGCTCATACTTATGATTCTTTTCCATACAAAGACCATGACTGGCATCAGTTCACATGCCGGGGCAGTCTAGTCTGGATTCACTGGGTTCTCAGAGAATAAATTTGGGGCATTTCTTAAATCCTGAAACAGAAAGGGACGACATACCTAATGCTCACAGCATGGCATAGTGCTCAAATGATGAGTCTGAACAGGACATCTACCACAAAATGTATCTGTTGCAGCCTTGCTTAGGCCAAGGAGAACCGCACAACAGTTTACACAAACCATATTCTACCCAATTTACTGGAAGCATGCAGCTTTTAAAATATGGAAGATAGAAGGGGATGCCTTGTTAAAGTACACAGAGTAAGGGAATTTTTTTAATCTATCGAAGGGTGTTTATTGACACTCAATTGCCAGCTTAGTTAAATTTTGCTTTTATATTTAAGACCAAAGGTAAATTTTGTAGGGTTTTGAAATAGTAATAGTTCCAATAATTCTCACCAAGAATTTCCCTATCTTTTTTTTTTCATCAGGCCAGCCAGCCACACAAGCTAAGAAATAAAAATTGAGTCAAGGCACACAATTGCACTCTCCCCCCCCCCCCAATTCTTGCCCTTATTTCCATTTCTTTCCATGAAATTAAAGCAACAGTACACACTCAGGCTGGAGGTACGCAAATTTCATAGCTGGGCTCTAGCCGTTCTAGTGTGGATTTGATTGATTAAAAGAAGACAAAGAACATTTCCCCCTCACAGCTTTGTTTGGATTTCCCAGATTTACTCTGGAAAGAGAGAGCAAGAGTAGAAGAGAGTCTTAATTTTGCTTAAGAGTACTCTTTGAGAAACTTTATGTGGAAGTCTTTCACTTTCTCCAGCAAGATCTTTAGCTTCTCTACCGGAGGGAGAATGGTCATCCTGGGGAAACAGGGGGGGAAAAGTGTTATAAAATGACCTTCAAAAAGAAGGAAAATTTAATTCAGCTGCTAACACTGCAGCATGCTTTGTCAGCCCTGTACCTAAAGTGGTAAGTGCCTTCTCTTTGGCCAAAGCCACTTCCAGGAACAACACAGATCCCTGTTTCCTCCAGAAGTTTCATACAGTAGAACATGTCGGGAGCCATTTTATGAACCTGCAGAAATAAAAATGATGTAATAATTAGAAACTAGAGAGTGAATAGCAAGTCCTATTTTCATGGAATCATAGAGCTAGAAGAGACCTCAGCAGCCACCTAGTCCATCTATGCAGTTACGTTCCTTTCATTATAAAAAAGGATGCTTCCAAATACTTTTATCTGTTCATCTATCTGGCAAAGCTAAAGTTGGTCACACCAGGGACTGTCAACTTGTCCCTGTGTTTCTTTAACAGCTGTTTGACAGACATGAATCAGACCGGGGGGGGGAGTGTTCATCATGATGTTTCCATAAACATTATTATTGATTGTCAAAGGACCAATATCGAAGGATAGGAATATAATCATACTAGTATGCTACAGATGACCCAAGATGAGATCCTGCAAATCCAGGACACGCCACCCCTGTTGAGTAATGGAGCTTCAGGAAAATTCAATTTAGCTCCTGTAAAAAAAGTACTGATGTCTCCCCAAACCAGTACAGCAGCTCCAGAAAAGCATCAAAGCTCCCCTGGCCTGGAGAATGGCTCCTCCAAAACTGGAATGGCAACAATTGTACAGCTGAGGCAAAAGTATTAGGAGCGGTTGGGGAGAAGTCTCACCTTTGCTGCCTCGATGGCCTTGGAAGGGATGAAGATTCGTGGAAAAGCATACATAGCCCCTTGAAGAGGGTTGCAGTGGATCCCTGGTACTTGATTGAACATGTCTTCTGTCAGTTTGGCTTTTTTGGCGAGGTTGTTCAAGACAGACTCCTTTTCCTGTTTTGAGGGGAAACACACAGCAACGTCACACCAAAGGCAAAGGAACTATGTACCACAGAAATGGCTTGTGTTGCCCTGCAGTTCCTCTCTTCCTTAGGGTGGTGCTTCTCAAAACTTCTGAGCACAGCCCTACGCTTTCTAAACTTCCTAGGCCTTCTGTCATCCTCCTCCCACCCCACCCTGCCGAGCAACACAAACCACCTTAGTTTGACAGATGTGTGCAAAGGGAGCTTTGGTGAAGTGTTGTGTATCCCAGCACTGAATATAAGAACCTGCGTGTGGATTCAGGAGATGCAGGTATCACTTTAGCTTCCCTCTCATGCTTGTCATTCTGATTCTCTGGTTATTACTGCACAAGGTAGATGTAGACACACACACACCTTGATGAACTGTGCATATGATTCCTCCCCAGGTACAGGAGGATTCACGACAATATCCATGGCTGCTTGACCTGAGACCGGCGGACACAGACGGACTGACAGAAGCTTCACAAGTTGCCCTTTAATATCTGGGTGCAAGTTAATCACCTCCATGTAGCCGCCTCTGTAGCCACACCTGAGAAAAATGGGAGAGTCAGGAGGGTGGGGGTAGTGAATAGAAAAACAGAAAAGGAGAAAAAACAACACATTCTGAAACTCTCAGGATAATGATAGCATTGTGTGTATTACATGCCACCTGTTGCTTCTCAACACCTTGAACATTATTTGATTGAAAGGCAGGGTAGAAAAATCTTAAAATATAATCAGTCCACTAGTATAAAACCTCAAGGAAGTGTTGAATTTTAGAACACAAGTGGGACAAATCTCAAGCCAAAGGGGTGTGTGTGTCCCAATGCATTGCCCTTGGGATGCTGTTGGACTCCAACTCCCAGAAGCCCCAGCTGATGGGCTAGGGATGATGGGAGCTGCAACCCAGGAACATCTGGAGAGTACAGCAGATGTCAATTGGTATGTGGAGGTCATTAGCATCTTTAATGGGCAGTCATGAAGCAGCTGGAGCAGTGTCTGTACAGCCAAAGATATTATGAATTCTCTCTCTCTTTTTTACTGTAGCTCAGTAAAATGGACAAGCCTTTTAAAAATAAAAACACAATTTACTTTTTTGAAAATATAGGGGGGGAGAGTAAACAGAATAAAGTGGGATGGTGGAGGTGAAGTCCCTTACATGTAGGTGCATAGCTGCAGACCACCATACATTTAACACACATGGCTGCCCCAAAGAATCCTGGGAACTGTAGTCTGAAAGGTGCCAGGAAGCACATGCCACCTGCTTGTGATTCCTAGCAACTGACATTCAGGGGCTTCAACGGCGGAGGATGAACATAGTCACCACAGCCAGTTGGTGGCCATCACTACTTCTTGTGGGGGGAAACATCCAAGAAGCTCCGTGAAGGAGTACTTTCTTTTGTCTGCCCTGAATCTTTGAACATTCGGCTTCATTGAATACCCCCCAAATTCTAGTGTCATGAGAAGAGGGCAAAGTTGATTTGGCAAGACACCATCCTGCACTGACCTCAATAGGCCAGCAGGGAGCAAAGTGGGTAGAAACTCCTCTCTGGGAGTCAGCATGTTTGGGTGGACTAGAGAAACAAAGCTCCAGTTTATTGAGATGCGAGAACCAGGACACAGTCATGGGGAGAAAAAAGGAGGCCCTATGAAAACTTACTCGCCCATGTATCCTTTAGAGGTAGAATGAAAAGAAGCAAGCTCCACATTGTTACAGTAATCTGGTCCCATCTCATAAAGGATCTTTTTGAAGGAGTGAAACTGACAGCTTTCCGAGTAGACATTATCTTGATAAACCTGTAACCAGCAGGAAAAGGCACATGTATTCTTTGTTTATGAACAAAGTAAAAGATGTGGCCTGCAATTTAATGCTTTTATTACCTCATCAGCTAGAAGGAACAACTTCTCTTCCCAGGCAAAGTGGATCACATCTTCAATGCATTTTCTGTTTTGAACCTGACCTAAAATAGGAGGTGTGAGAGAAAACGGAGAGCTCTGATTCATAAAAATCTGTAAGCAATAAATCTGTAAACTTTCAAACCCAGAAGAAAAAATAAAGGGTGTGTGTGTTCTGTTTTAAAGCCCTTTGCAAAAATGCTCATTGAAGCAGCCCCATGCTTCTCTAAGTAAGTGATGGGGGAGGAGAGACTCCTTGCTTCTCCCCCCTCCCCTCCATTAAAAGAGAAGCACACATCTGCTTCAAAGGGACTTTTGCAAAGGGTCTTAACCCCCACTCATGAGCTGATGAGCGGGGATTTAATTCTGCTGCTTTGGCACGCAGCAAAGGCAGGATGAAAAGCTGTCCTCCTGCCCATCGCCTAACATCACCACTGATGTCACTTGATGGGCAGGTGGGTGAAAAGTCATTAGAGAAGGAAAATTGCAGCATGAAGACAAAGAAGAGTTCTGCAAACCTGTGGGATTTCCAGGGTTGATGATGCAGAGGACCTTTGGATTGCAGTATGTTTTGGCTTCATTCAAGGAGCGGCGTAGTTCATTGACGTCTAGGGCCCAACAGTTCTCTTCGTCAAGGTAATAGTTGATCTGAATGGCATCCAATTCCGAGATAGCAGCTGAATACAAGGGATACTGGGGGATTGGGATCATCACTCCAGTTCGGGATCTTCCGCCCCCTGAGACAAGGATCTTTAGAATAGTCTGGAGGGGGAGGGAAAGGTTATTTAACAAGTTTGTGTTTCATTTCTCCCCTAAACAAATAAAAGCGTCAACATTACAATATTTTGCAGGCTTTTCTAAAAAGTGCTTAAATTTCTTCTTGAGGGTGTTTGAAAAACCAAGAGTGCTTGGGGAAGGGCAGTATAATAAGCCCTGTGGTTCATCTAGTTAGGTGTTGTCTACACTAATTTTCAGCAGCCCTCCAGGATTTAAGACAGGGGTTTGTCCCAGCCCCACCTGGTAAATGAACCAGGGATCTTCTGCTTACAAAGCACTAAGTTACAGGTGGAACTTTGGTCTGATCCAACCAGGTTCTTTTTATATTTGGAACACAGAACAGAGATGGGGGAACCTCAGCCCCCGGGGCCAAATACTATCTGGCCCTTGGAACACTCCCCAAACCACACCCCCTTGCTGACCCTCCTTTTGCCCTCTCCTGGGGGTGTTTTTGCTTGGCTGGAGTGAGCCTTTGAACTCTCTTGCTGGCTTGGATGGGCACAGGCCATGCCAAACCCTCCAAAATAATGATCCACCACTGAGCTCCCGCTGAATTTGATTAATTGCAGGCTTTTAGGGATAATGAATCTAAAGAAGCGATTCCTGCTTCTCCAAGAAGAAAAGGAGCAAATGCGGCCAAGTACAGAGATGTGTGCCGTTTCTGGCAATGCTTCACAAAAGCAGCTAGTAGTCCACCTCAATCCGCTGCCAACCCAGAGGCCAAGAACACTGGGTGAATCAATAAAACTGCAGGCCCAACGGTGCTGCAATACCAAACTGTGCCAGGCGATGGCATTTTCATTAAGGTTTTTTTTGCAAGGCAGCCAAAATGCCTGAATGTATAAGCGGGATGGGGGAGCGGGGGAACGGAGTGTAGGATTTCAAAGTTACATATTGACAGACCCCCCATTTGCAGCAAACCTACACCACCCTATAGATACTGAAGCCGAGGTGGGTTTCCTGCTGAAGGTCAACAAATATTGCACTGGCACTATTTCACCCACTTGGGTTGCCAATGTTAGTGGGAGGGAAGGGGGCGAGGTCTGGGGGAGGAGATCTTGCACCATGTTTAACTATGCATTATGGCCTTTAACCATGGGTCCCTATGCAACTCACACCACCCACAGACAGCTTAGGCAATAGTCAGGAATGATGGGGGACCCAAGGTTGAAGAGCATTAGTTTATAGAATAAAGGAATTTCCCCCTCAATGTGCCAAACAAAATCAGTTCTCCCCCCCCCCCAACGGTTCTTGTTTTGGTTGTTAGATCAAGCCAGGCCACTGACACACAAGCAGGGCCGTGATCTTGTTTTTCAGGGAGAGAAACCTTGCAAGCAGGGCCTCCACATGAACAGGTCCTGACATAGAAGCCTTTCATTCCTTTGAAATGCCTGGGGCCAGAGAGACAAAGAACTGAAGCAATATGGGGGGGGGGGGAGAGATCATAAACAGAGAGGAGAACGCCCGTCCACTTCTGCACCATATGAAGGCCGCGGCTAGAAATTTCAAAACTAGGACTATTTCTTTGCCCATTTCATCCCTTGTATGGCTGCTTCTGTATTCCTTCCCCCCTTCATCTCCTCTTTTCTCTCTGGGCAACTGCAAAACAAATATTCAAACCCTGCAGAAGCTCAGAATGTGTGCTGTCCAAGTATAGCTCGGCAGAGCGTGAGACTCTTAATCTCAGCACCATGGGTTCGAAACCCACATTGGGCAAAAGATTCCTGCATTGCAGGGGGTTGGACCAGATGGCCCTCATATTCCCTTCCAACTCTACTATTATAGGAATCTAGGGATTTATGTACAGTACATTCACTCAGGCTATGCCGCTCATGCCAAGCAATAGGTTTGCATTTTATATAGCCAGAGTACACCCAGCTTGGGGTCTCAATGTCTAGAGCTAGTGGGGTGTAGGTGTTAGGAGACTGGACTAGGACAGAGAAGCTTTTTAAGCCTGAGGGATGCAGTTCCTTCTGGGCAACCTTCCAGGGCCACATACCAGTGCTGAGCAAGGACCGAGGCAAAAAATAATAATGGGTGGAGCAATGAATGTAAATTTTTCCTTTGTACAGTAGGCTAACGTCTACACATACTCACACACCCCTCTCTGTCCAGGGAAGTAGGAGGCGTCATCAGAGTTCAAGAGTGCATTCCAACCAGGCAAAAAATACTTGAGGAGGGCATGATGGGAGAGAGCATGAGGCCTGAGGGCAAAACAGAGAGGCCTGAAAGAGCCCACTCAGCCTCTGGGCCTGAGGTTCTCCACTTCTGGGCTAGGGCCCTGGCCACCAGCGTTCAAATACGCAACTCACTGGGCGACCCCAGGCCAGTCTCAGCCTATTATTTATCATGTTATGACGATAAAACATATATACTACCTCAAGTTCCTTGGAGGAAAGAAGGGATATAAATATAAAAAATATAAATATAAATATAATGATTTTACTGCAGTTTTATCCCACCTTTGCTGCAAGGAGCTGAAGGTGGGGTTAATGGTTCTCCCCCTCCCACTTAATCCCAACAACAACTCTGTGAGGTAGGTTAGGCTGAGAGACCGTGACTGGCCCAAGGTCACCAAGGGAGCTTGATAGCTGAGTGGGACTTGAACCCTGGGCTCACAGGTCCTAGTCTGACACTAACCACGGAACCACACTATCATAAGAACGATAATATATTAAAAAACAAAACATACAGCAATACCGTCGCTAGCTCCCGTTGTCAGGTATATGTTCTCTGGATCTGCAGGAACGCCTCCATCCCGTCGCTCAATGTAGGCTGCAACATCTTCACGGATACAGTTCACCCCTTGGCTGGCACTGTAGGAACCTGTAAGGGAAATGGGGTCATCATTAGAGGTTTGCACTCAGACAAGCAGAAACATTTGCAATCCCAGAACAGGTTTGTCACTGAGATGTCCAGGACAAAACTCAGCCACCCTTCAAAATCCACTCTGAATTTTGCAGTGCAGCTCCCCAGCCAGGTAGTGTGTACTAAAACAAACAAACAAAACACACTCATAAAAATATTAGTGAAAACAGACCAAAGTTCTATTAGGAAAAACTACTTGCAAAAAAAGGGGGGGGATTAGGCAAAACTGCATACAAAAATGGATAAGAGGAAAGATTTGCACAAAAATGCTGACAAATTTTCCTGATGACTTTTTAAAAAAACAACCTAACAGATAATGGTAATGTGGAGAACCAAACTTAAGTGTAAAAATGAGAAATTAAAAACCATGAGAAAACTCGAAATTGGCAAATTTGCCTATCCCTACTACCGGCCCATTTCTTTTCCTTTGAAATGTTTAGAGGCAGAGGCAATCCTAATCACACTTGTGCAAGTGGCTCTTCTGCTTACCCATTTTCAAATGCATGGGTAGGTTTTCCTAGTAGGAAGAGCTGGAGCAACGGCTCTTCCGTGTTAACTCTCTGCATCACCTTTACTACCAAGTCAATTATGAGCACATGCCTGAGAGATGCAGATCAACTCATCCAGCAGCCTACTTATAGCTAAGAAGGCCCTGCAGTCTCCATAGCAGGATGCATTCAACAAGCTGTGTACTTGTCTCTTCCTTCTCCATCAATGATAGGTCCTAATACCTTCAATTAATCTCGAAGGAGGCTGCCTTTCCTTTCTTTTGTGAGCACAGCCAGCCTAGGATGAAAGACCTGCTTTTTAGTACCAAGCACAACAGTTACCACACACAATACAGTGGTACCTCGGGTTAAGTATTTAATTTGTTTCGGAGGTCCGTTCTTAACCTGAAACCGTTCTTAACCTGAAGACCACTTTAGCTAATGGGGCCTCCTGCTGCCGCCGTGCTGCCAGAGCACGATTTTTCTTATCCTGAAGCAAAGTTCTTAACCCGAGGTACTATTTCTGGGTTAGCAGAGTCTGTAACCTGAAGCGTATGTAATCCGAGGTACCACTGTACTTGTGGTACTAGGATGGCTTTGTATAGGAAACTAACTGAGACTCTGCATACAAGTAGTGTGCCTGTGATACTAGCAGAGCTAAGGCTGCTACCTACCAGTTTCTAGCATCACAGGGACTAGAAACTTCCTTGTGAAGAAAACTTTTGCTTTTCCCCCTGGGTCAGACAACGAGACTCCTCATTACACAGCAAAGAGAGACGGGAACTGGCTGGCTTCCCTCTCACACAGTCGCACTTCCTTATAGATCTAGTTAAACTAGTTTCAAAATTGAATCAATATTAGGCAAATCTTTATGGTCTAGGAAGTTGTGCACGAGTGGGAGTGGAAGGACAGAGAACACAAAGGCAAGCATTTGCTACGTGGCTACTTAAAATCAGCCCAGCAAGGGATTTTATCTGCCAGCTGGCCAAGGTTATTGAAGTTCAGATTTACTGTTGAGCAACACGGAGTATTTAATGTGCAGCTTTTAAATTTTCTTGCTGTATCTCATTAAGAAATTACTGTTCAGCCATCCTCCAGACGCAGGTAGCAGTCTTAGAAGGAGGCTCTTATCTCTCATGGGGGATAAGACAAAACAAACAAACCCACACAGAACTTATGAACCTTCACCACTTGTCCAATGCCAAGGTTTCTGAGCACATCCTGGTCATCAAGACACAACATGTCTGCTTATCAGTGTGCTTTCAAAAAATGTTACATGCTGCTCTGGTCCTAGGGTATTATTCAGGAGTAAGCAGACTAGCACACAAAGTATTTACATCAGGAAAAAGCAGCAGCTGCAATGTCGTTTCTGCTTCAGTGAAAACAAAAATTGCTGTGGGATGGGGGCTGTGCTGATCTGGAAATGGTCCTTTTGGTTTTGGTTTTTTTAAAAAACAAATAGCAATGTTCGGAATAGGCAGGATTGAAGCCATTAGAAGTGAGCCTATTGTAAGCTGCTAACATTCCTTTATAATGGTTTAAAAAGATATTTTTGCAGTGAGATACATTGAAGGCCATCAAAGCACTGGGAAATGCAAAATAAATAAATAAAAATGTCACATGCCAAACTAACTAAGAGCAGAGCTGCTAGTCAGAATTCAAGGCTGCCTACCACACACACACACACACACACACACACACACACACACAGAGAGAGAGAGAGGGGGGGGAGGTGAGAAAGTCACTTCCCTATGGTGTGATCTCATTTGACTGTAGTATGCATGTGAATCCCGGAACCAAATTGGTGGAGCCAAATGACGTGAGTCATTCCCACCTTTGTACTCCATTTGGACAATGATCAGATGGAAATAATTAATGCAACTGACCTTCCCCATGATTCCTGTATTTGAGAGAATATGGCCGGTATGTGAAATCACACAAGAAAGTGGCGTGTGTGTGTGTGTGTGTGTGTGTGTGTGTGTGTGTGTGAGAGAGAGAGAGAGAGAGAGAGAGAGAGAGAGATTGATTTGCATGCAAGGTGCCAGGTTCAATCCCCAGCATCTCCAGCTGGAGCTGGGAGTCGTCCCCTGTCTGAAAACCCAGAACTCCTCTGCCAACTGGTGTAGACAATACTGAGCTAGATGGACCAATGTGTCCAATTCAGTATAAGGGAACTTCACATGTTCCCATCTGAAAAAAGACTTAGACACTCTGAAGATAACAGAATCTGAAAGGGTATGTTCACATATCCCAATCCAGGCAAAACTCAAATTTGGGCTGGTGCTGATTTCACAGTATGTAAAAGGAGTTAATGGTGCAAACAGACCTTTGGCAATTAGCCACATTTACACTGGAAATACCCAAGCGTGAATGTATCCTTTATTCAATGACAACTCTGCTTTGTGCTTGTTGCTTTTCACAGGTCGTGAATGGATTCCGGATTGGCTGGCTCCTACAGCCCAGTCTGTTAATGCACAAAAAGCCTTCAAGTGATTTAATGAAAAGGAAAGCAGTCAACGGAAAGGAAGGAGGCCAAGCACAACCTCGAAGAACAAGCAAGGCAAACATACAGGCTGCCCCAACCTGGTGCTGCCCAGATAATTTTGGCCTTCAACTCCCACCAGCCCCAAGCAATTGTTATGCTGGCTGGGGCCGATGGGAATTGTAGTCCACAGCATTTAAAGGGCACTAGGTTGGGGATGGCTGAGCCTCAGAACAATATAAAAATGTTCAAAGGAAACAAGGAGCAGCACTGAATGTTATCTAATGCAAGTGACTGTACTTCCCTCGCCCTTGATTTTGATTGGTCCTGCCAAATGTCAAATAGGCACTTATCACAAAAAAATTAGGGAACAGCTCTTTTATTTTAATTATGCCTCTAGTCATGCCATGATAACTCTCTTTTCCTGCCTGGAAAGGAAGTAATAAAGGCTGTCAGATTCTGTAGTTCTCAGTCATATCCTACAACAAAAGCACTACCTAGATAACAGCAGCATAAACACAATTTCTCTTAACTTTTCTTTGGGGTGGGGGGAAGAGTTATGGCACTGGGTTAAATTAGGCTGCAATTTTATGTACACCTGTTTGGGAATAAGTCACGTGGGACTTACTTCCCAATAAACCAGGCTGGGATCGAGAACTTAAATGCATGTAAGAGTGAGCCCCTGAGAGTGTGTCATCTTTGAACACAGCAGGACTCACTATTGAGATGTGCATAAGACAGTATTGTTGGCCTCGTATTTACTTGGGCTTCCTATTCCTGAGGAGGACAGGCTTGAGCAAACTCTATGCAATGGGAATTCTGTTTTGCCTGATTTTCCTGTTTGCAGGAAAGTTAATTCATCTGAACATGGCTTGAGCCTAAAAGGCTTTTTGGTCTGCAAGAAAACAAAGAATGGGAAAGAGGAGTTGGCTACATGATGCAACTATGTACAGCGTCCCACAAAGCTTTCAGAAGTAATTCCGCCACTTTCCAGAGTGGCTTGACAATTCATCTCTCTGCCCCAGGGAACTCTGGAAATGGGAAGTCTGTGAAGGGGGAATAGGGGTCTCCTAACAATTCTCAGCACCCTTAACCAACTACAGTTCCCATCAGCCTTTTGGGGGGAAGTCACAGCTGTTTAAAGTAGTACAATACTGATGTAAATGCATAGTGCAAATGAGGCCCAGGAAAAATACACAAAGTTGTCAACACTACCAAAACTGGTGTGCAGATTGTGGAAGGTTGAATAAGAAAAGGCATGCACATTGATAAAATGTGCATGGAAAAAATGATCTGGATGTTCTCCTTTCTTTAAAAGCCCAAAGAAATATGGCTATATACTAACACCCCATAATTAAAACCATTGACATGGAAGATCTATAATTTAAATTAAATTAGTAACATGAGAGGAGTACCTAAGCTGTTCCCTCCGCAACCCTGCAAGATCCGTCTCGCTCTCTTCTTAGAGTCCTCTGGGAAGCTTGGGCTGTCCAACAGGTTTGGGTACGTACAAAGTGCAACTACCTACATGGTTGAGAAAAAACAAACCACACAAAAACTGGTTTTCAAACATAAAAAAACTTCACTGCTACTGAACATTCCTTGTTCTATTTTCAAACATCATTTTTCAACCTTCCTCCATTACCTCAAGTACCTGGTAAGTTTCAAATGAGGACCGCTGCTTAGTTTTTAAGTCAGAAAGGTCATTAAAAAAATGAAAAAAGTCCCTTAGGATTTGCCAGTAAAGTCTGGCAGCTCCAGAGTGATCAATGGCAGCTGATCAATAGGCACCAGGGCCTTAATGCTAACACAAGCAGCTTTTCACAGATATGGGTGTGTGGTTTTTTTTGGGGGGGGTAGCCGCTTGCCCTTGTCTTAGGGCAGAGATCAGCAATGTGGCATCCACAAGGACACACACATACAACTGCAGAGGCTTTCCCTGGTGCCAACAGGGTTCCTCCTCCTCCAACTCAAACTGGGCTTAAAGTGCTTCTATTGGAGCATAGGCTGCGGTTTGTGCTCAATGGAGAGATATTTGTGTGTGGTTCCAACAGCAATTTCTCCAGTTTGCAAAGGAACCCGTGGGGTGTAGTGGTTAAGACCGCTGGACTAGGGTCTGGGAGACCAGGGTTCAAATCCACACTTGGCCATGAAGCTCACTGGGGGACCTTGGGCCATTCACTGTCTTTCAGCCCAGCCTACCTTACAGGGCTGTTGTGAGGGTAAAATGGAAAGAGGAAAACCTTGAGCTCTTTGGAGGAAAGGTGGGATATAACTAAAATAATAATAAGAATAATAATTTCCCCATGAGGCCAAACAGGTTGGCAAGCTCTGGATTAATGCTTGAAAACGGCACACCCTCTAGCCTAGCCTTCCTTTTTGACAGCAGCTTGAACTGCAGCAAGTGTGAATTGATTACATCTGAATCCCACTTTGCTTCCATAGAAGTCGAGGCCTCCTAGTCTGCTACCCAGGTACCTCCTTAGCTTCTGCAAAAACAACACTGCCCTTGTAAAACCGAGCAGGGAGAAGGATGGGGACAAAACTAGAATGAGTTTGCTCTAATTGTCATTGGTGAGTCTACCAGCTGTTGGGTGCCCTGCCTCCTGCCCTACCAGTTGCAATGGGCACCAGCAACCACTGGGAGAGCCTGCAATGGCTTGAGAACCATCGTACCTGACGAAGGAAGGTGATGGGCTGTTGACCCATGGCGTGTGCGTCCCCAATGTTGGCCTTGATGACCTCCGTGAAAGGCTTTTTGATCCCCTAAGAGGAGAAAGCACATGAACAGTACATCAAAGCTTTATTCAGATACAGCAGATTGGAAGGGCACACTGTGTTGCTTTTTACATGCATTACCATTTGCAAAGGACGACGGCAACAAAACGACACTGGCGAAGAACAGAAGGCTCTCCAGAGAATCAAGGTGCCAGAAGCGCTATCAGGGGTGAAAGAATGAATTGTATCTGGTTCCCCACAAAAAGGCAGAAGCCCAGAGAGAAGAGTGTTTGGGTCAAGCCAGCACGGTGGGAAAACACTGGCTTTAAACCCTGCGCATTTGCAGCAAAACAAAAACCCTTGCAACACCTTTCTCAAAAGATGGTAGATTTGTGTCTCCTTACACAGATAATCTCAGAGTAGGGCAAATGTCACCTCTGAAGCAACCCTAAGACCCCCCCCTTCCATTTTCAAGTCCTGGGGAAAACATGTGGTTGGAGTGTCACATTTGAACTGGAAAGATGTGGATTCAAATCTCTGCTTATTCCAGCAGCAAGCTGGGTGGTCATGGGCAAATCACTGAGTGTATTCAGATATCACATTTCCAGTTCTCTGGTCTAGATCATGGCTTGGAGAATCAGTAAAATGTTCTATGCTGACACATTCTCTTCACCCCCTGCAGGCCTGGTTTAATGAATAATATCCTGGCTTGACCAAACCACAAGAGTCCAGCAGGATCAGACCAAAGGTCCATCTTAGTCAGCCTTGTGTTTCGAACCATGACCAACTGACCGTTTCTGAAAAGCCCAGAATCAAGAACATAATGGCAATAACTCTCTCCGGTTTTTCTCTCCTAGTAGTTGGTATGAAGAGGCATGGAGGAAAGAGCATCTCACCTGGTGGGGCAGAACTATAGCAGTAGCCTGCTGGCACTGGCATCATGGCAGAGAGGGGCATGGGTGAAACTAGAATGAAGATCGGGCTGCATGGACATTCTGGCTGGAGTGCAGGATTGGCTCTGCCAGTGTGCCCATGCAGCCCCAACAATGCTGCCACCTCACCCCTCCGAGGAAGAAGCAGGGATGCTGGTATGTGGAGGCTATTGCTGCAGCTCTGCCTCACTGGATGACTAACACCACAGTTTGCAGTTACGGTGGAAACAGCAAACTATGGTTTGATTAAACCCTCCTTTCCAGGATTGCAAATCATGATCAAACTGTGGCATTCAATCATGAATAAATAAGGAAGTTTGCTCAAATGAGAGTTTTCCAATTAAAACAACAAGTGATCAAACCAGGAAGGAACACATGAACCACAGGGCTTGCTTCCCATCCTCCGAACCATAGTTTGTATTATTGGAAACATGGAACCTACGAACAGCCACGGTTTCCAACCCTAGCCTGCTTCACAGATGCTGTCTGTTAAAATCAGCAGAGGTTCACCATGGTATCTTGAAAAGATCTTTCCCAAACCTGCCATGGGAAATTGAAACGCCCAATCTCTGGGCTAAACATGCAATCTTGCTAGTCACCTAAATTGACTTTTTGGGAAGCCGTCCTGACCCTATGCTTTGACAGAGGGTTATTTTTAATTATCTCCTTTTAGACTGAGCCTAAAACACAGGAACATAGGAAGCTGTCATATACTGAAGGAGACCATTGGTCCACCTAGCACAATTTTGTCAAAGCTGAGTGGCGGTGGCTCTCCAGGCTTTAAGACAGGGGTCTCTCAGCCCTACCAAGAGATGCAAGGGGTTGAATCTGGATTCTTCTGACTGCAAAACAGATGCAGACGAGAGCCATGGCCCTTTCCTGCTGCAGTAACTCTATACTGACCGACTAAGTATAAGGTAACTCTATACTGGCAATATAAGGAAAAGAATGTACTTTGGGCGTATTTTGAACAAGCAATGACGGAGACCAAAACTAGAAAAATAAGAGACAGCAAGTGGAAGATTTGGATGTCTTGCAAAAATTATAAAGAGAAAAGGGGGGAGGGATAATCTTTTACAAGCATTTTGCTGAGCACTGATTAACTAGACCTATCTGTTGCATGTTTATGCTGCCATTGCTTTTGTTCCTACAATCTCTTAGTTTCACACTGTGCTTGGTACAAGGACTTCTGATATTAAAAGTATTGACATACATTTGAAAGGTACGCCATGGCCCTTAATCCTTACAAGTTACAGCTCCAGTGTTGCTGCTTTTTCCTTTCCTTTCCTTTTTTGCCGAGAACAAACCTTTCCAAGAGAACATTTGATGAGCGCTGGCTTGCCATCAAGCTCTCTTTATATTAAAATGAAGAACCCTGCTGAAAACATTTTGCTAAGCATATATATTTACAATATTCCGTCAGCCTGTGCAAAGATGTACAAAGGCCAAGCTTGTTCTCGGTCTCCCATCAAGAGTGACGAAGCTTGGAATTAAGGGAATGTTTTTGTTTTCCCAAAGAAAAACATCAGGCAACCCCTGGATATAGTTACTAAAGCAATGGCTGTCATGGATACAAGGTTAGAGGGGTTTGAAACATGGGGTTCAGGAAAGGGAGGATATGTTGTATTAGATGAAATAATTCAGGTCCTCATCCTGGTCCCATTACAAACACTGACAAAAGTAGAAAGGCTGTCCAGAAACTGACTGTGAATTGAAAAAACAACAGAACCACCACCCCAGGCAGGGATCTAATTTCATTTACACAGGGCATCTCAGAGAAAAGGTCTTCCTTGACATGAAAAATACCAGGGGGCTATTTGCTAAAACACAGCAGGCCTGCAAACCTTCCTACTGGCAGGGCCCCTGGCAAAACTCCAGGGTACGCAAGGCAGAAATCCAGTTGAAACTTCCCTCCCTGCCATACCAGAAGAGACTTAGCTTCTGCAATTCCTTCAAAACTGGCAACCTTGGAATAGAGTCAGTTGGCCATTTATCTGCAGGCTCTCTTTCCCATCGCCTCTAAGAAGTGACAACCAGCCCCTCCACTTATTTGGAATTATAGGGAAAAGGGCAACTAGGTCAGAAGGCTGGATAGAGAGGAATTGCCCCCTCCCTCAAAAAGCACTCATAGGAACACAGGACAATATGTTCATCTAGCTCAGTACTGTCTACTCTGGCTGGCAGCAGCTCTCCAGGATTTCCATCAGAGGCCTCTCTCCCAGCTCTCACCTGGACATGCTGACTATTGAATATGGGACATTTTACACACAACACAAGTAAGAACATAAGAGAAGCCTGATGGATCAAGGCAACAGCCCATCTTGTCCAGCATCCTGTTCTCTTAGTGACCAACCAGATGCCTATGGGAAGCCCAAAGGCAGGATTTGAGTGCAGCAGTACTCTCCCCACTTGAGATTTCTAGCAACTGCTATTCAGAGGCACACTGCTTCTGAGAGTGCAGGTAAAACATAGCAATCTGAGTCTCTGAATACTAAGCACCTTTGATATAAGTAAAGGTAAAGGGGCCCCTGACCATTAGGTCCAGTTGTGGCCGACTCTGGGGTTGCGGCGCTCATCTCGCTTTATTGGCCGAGGGAGCCAGCGTACAGCTTCTGGGTCATGTGGCCAGCATGACTAAGCCGCTTCTGGCGAACCAGAGCAGCGCACGGAAACGCCGTTTACCTTCCCGCCGGAGCGGTACCTATTTATCTACTTGCACTTTGACGTGCTTTCAAACTGCTAGGTTGGCAGGAGCAGGGACCGAGCAACAGGAGCTCACCCCGTTGCGGGGATTCGAACCGCCAACCTTCTGATCGGCAAGTCCTAGGCTCTGTGGTTTAACCCACAGCGCCATCCGCGTCCCTTTGATATATACATCGCAAAACTATATTAGGAAGCATGAAACTTGTGTCCAAACAACTATGCAAAGCATTGCTGCAACTGGCTGCAAACTTGGGAATAAAGAACCAGCAAACTCAGCTGGAGTCAACTTCCATGAAAATGTGCAAAGGACGGGGCTGTCAACCAACCTTCTTTTCCAGTAAGAGAAAACCAATTTAAGCACGAGTCAATTCAGCTTCATAACAGACCGATGCATCTTTTAAAGCTGTCCTCGGCTGTCCTTGTGGCACTTAAGCAACCACAAAATGTTGGCAGGCTGGCAGTGCGATCCTGCATGCATCTACTCAGAAGGAAGTCCCACTAAGTTCAGTCTAACAGGGCCAGCCTGTACACACCTGTCTGGGGGTAAGCCCCATTGAGCTCATTGGATCGAATCTCTGATGGTGCAATCCTACACGCGCCTATGCAATCTCCTGTTATCAAACAGGTTCACCGCAGATGCAACTGTCCTGCTTGTCAAACCAGCTTTACTCTGGGCTGGTGTCATTTCGGTGTAATTGAAGCCGACAAGAGCTGTAGCTGAAGGGGGAGGCTAAACAGTCTTGATAGTGACCTCAAATGGCACTGGACTGTTTGATGAGCCTTACGGCTCCCTAGAAAGGGGTGATGTAACTAGAAGGAACTGAAGTATATTGCTATGCCTTAGCAATATAAGTGTGAATGTGCTTTTCTGATGAATAGCCTTGTTTTAACGTTATTATTTGTATGTATTTATCTAAGAAAATGTATATGCTGTTTAATTGTAAGTAAAACCTCTAGCAAACAGAGGATGTCACTGTACATTACTACTCATATTAAGGGAACCCTGAAAGGAGAGTGGTCAATTTGGAATAATTTGTAAGAAAATAAAATTAGGGCAAAGGAAGGAAAGCCTCAGGTCTTTTAGGCTGCAATTCTCTTGTAATGTTGCATTACATTGTAAAACCAATGGCTCAGTCTTGAATTTAGCATGGGGAAACATGCTGCAGGCTTGTGATGTACAACACATTACTATCAGCACTTAGTATATACCATACCATCCAACATTTCTCCAATGAAAATAGGGAGGAGGAGGAGGAGGAGTAATAATCATGATGATGATGATGATAATGCCTCATCCATCTGACTGGGTTGCCCCCACTGAACTGGGCAGCTTCCAGCATATATAAAAACATAATAAAACATTAAAAATTTAAAAACTTCCCTATACAGGGCTGCCTGTAGATGTCTTCTAAA